CTGCGGATCACTGCTGCCTTTGCGGACACCTCCTGGCTCCCCTTCAAGGTCCGGGAGCTGCACATGGTGAAGGGTCCAGCTGGCTATGGGTTTCTACTCAAGGAGGATGACTGCAGCTCAGGGGCCACAGGTGAGGAGGCTTAGTGGGGCAGTCCATACCTCAGCAAGGCTTGTCTGAGGGTAGGGAATAGCTGCAAGCTCTGTTCCTGCAGCAGCACCCTCTCCCCACCTGCAGACTGGGGGGCAGCAGTGCCAGTTCCCCTCTGGCTGAATGCCTCTGTGAACATGTCCCCATCCTCCCTCTGTCCCACCATGGCAGGCCAGTTCCTGTGGGATGTGGCAGCTGAGCAGGCAGGGATGAAGGAAGGGGACCGTCTCCTTGCTGTGAACGGTGAGAGCATCGAGGGGCTGGACCACCAGCAGACTGTGCTCAGGATCCGTGCCCATGATGACCAGGTGACGCTGCTGGTCATTGACCCCGCAGGCGATGAGTTCTACCAGTCGGTAGGTTTTGGGGGACTTAGTGTCGTCCCAGCCTGGCTGGGGAGCTCTGGAGTGCTGCAAGGCTGGATGATGGGATGGGTGTCTTGCCCCCAGGCCTGCACAGTGAAGTCCTTCCTGGGGAACCTGGCTTGCCGTGCAGCTCCAGCAGCTGTACGGCTATCCCTATTCTGCTCTTCCAGATCAGGCTATCCCCTCTGCTGTTCCTTGAGGACAGTGACCCAGCCTCAGGCTCCTGCACGTCTTCCCTGCCCTCTCCCAGTGGCTCCCCTGGACTCTGTCACATTGAGGTGGGACCAAAGGGGCTTGGCTCCCGGCTGGTGGCTGCTGCCAACAGTATAGGGTTCACACAGGTAACCCCTCTTGCCAGGAGCTCACGGCAGTGCTGCTCACAGCCCAGCACTGCTCTGAGTCCCAGCACACTCCTGCCTTGCCTGCCCTGATATTTCCCTGGCACCTGTGATGCTGGCAAGAAAGGGCTGCGTGGTCCCCTGGGGGCCGTGCAGAAAGACCCCTCCAACCTGCTCCTGGGGCAAGGGTGGAGCACAGTGGTGTGAGTGGGTGTGTGCTGCCCACAGTGTCCTTGCTGTGTCCCTGCAGAGTCCGCGCCGGGAGGAGCAGAGAAGGCTGCACCAGGCATTCTAGCAGTCCAGGAGCACCCCACCTCTGGTTAGGCTCCACCACACGGCACCTTGTCCCAGGCCACGTCCAGCCCATCGGTGCCCTCTGCCCAGCTCCTCAGAGCCAGCTCCTGGCTCCCACAGTGCTGCCCAGCATGGCAATTGCACACACAGCTGCTGTGTCTCCATGCCCACGATAGGGCTCACGCATCACACCTCCCAGAGACAAATCTCCGCTGACCGAGGCTGGCTCCAAGCTTTTATTAACCATGGCGGTGGCTACTTGTAACCTAAAGACAGACCTATGTCTTTGCATGCTCAGCTGGCTCCAGGGGAATCTAGGGATATTGCACTGAAGACCTCACCCAGCTCCAGGCTCTGGAAGCTCCCAGGAGAACCTAGGCACTGCCTTCCATGCCGTGAACCAAAGGACTGGGGAGCCTGAGGCTTGACTCAGCCCAGGGCTGGCCTTCAGGATGCTGTGTGAAGGGGAAAGGGAGCAGCGGAGGCTGACAGGGTGCTAGAGGAACACCCCACCTCTCAGCCTGTTGTTGGCTCAGGTCTGCCCCTGCATGGACACCTCTCTTGTGTTCTTCCTTTTCTCCTCCCTGTGAACCATCGCAGCACTGTTCCTGCGTCACCCACTTGGGGTGTGTGATTAAAGGACAAATCCACACTGTTGTTCATGGCGGTAATGTTATGGACAGGGCTGTGACTCAGTGAGTGCATCCCAGGGCCAGGCACGACCCATCTTCTCCTACGTAGCCCAGGGCAGCTGAGGTCTTGGGCAGTGTGTGTGGCAAGCTATCCAAGAATGCTGATAGGGAGGTAGGGGCCGAGAGCCTGTCCTGTCCCAGGAGTTCCAGGGTGCTAAATATATCCAGAGGGTTGAGGCTGAACTCCTGTAGGCACTCCTTGTGCTCCACGGCGAAGGTCGTTGCTACTTCTTCCCAGTACTGGCTGGGCCCTGCCAGCTGGGCCAGCACAAGGTCCAGGCTACACTGGTGGGAAAGAGGGCCGTGAGGAAGGGGGACCCCAGTGACAGGGGGAGCCACTCACAGCCACATCCCCACTCATGTGCAGGATCTTCTCATACTCCCATTCCATGGTATAGAGCCAGTGCTGCAGTTGGGCGATGGCCCTGTCCCTCTCTGCTGGTGGCTGGTTGGCAGTCTCCTGGGTCTGCTGGCTCTCCTGGAGCCTGGTGGCTGTGTGGTGTGAGAACAGAGGCAGGGGACACTCAGCACGCGGGTACAGGAGCCTGGCACTGTGTCACCAGCGCAGGGGAGGGTGGGCAGCTGTGGGCTGCTGTCTGCTTCTGCAGCTCCTGGTATTGCCAGATCACTTCTGGGAACCAGGAAAGGGAGAAGGGAACAAACATGGTGACAATAGGAGGGAGAAGCAGGTGGTCCCTGTGCTGGGATCCCAGCAGGGGCTCCAGCAAGGCCTGACCTGAGGGTTTCCCTTGCAGGGTGACACATCAGGAGCACACTCTCCCTGCCTGGCAGGGCTGTGACAATACTGGGGGAGGGCGGGAGGCAGCCCTGCAGGGAAAGTTCTACCTCTCGGTTGAGCGCGGGAGAGTGAAAATGAGCACGGAGTTTTGCATGTGGCAAAGACCACAAACCTCTGGCTGAGGTTTTACCTCTGCTAAAATCAGCTCTTTCTTGAGCACTGACGGAAATGGTGAAACAATGACTTTTCCAGGCAGGCGAGTTTCTGCCCCTGTGGTCTCGTCTGCCTGCACTGAGTATGCGCACCTGGGACGCAATGGGTTTGTGACCAGAGCCTTTACATGCTGACAGCACGGGAGGGAGCAGGGCTAGCCAACAGCAAGGTGGTTTGGGCCGAGCAGTCGAGGCCAAAGAGAGAGGTGGAGTAAGCTTGTCTGGCCTCCCAGAGCGGCACCAAGGTGTAAGGTACCTGCATCTGCCCCACTGCCCCCTCCCACCTATGCCCTCACCTTCACGAATGACTCGCTTGTCTTCCCATGCCTGCTCCAGCACCCTCTCCAGGTCCCACAGCCTCTGCTTGAGCCCTTCATTGTCAGCTTTCATTTGCCACGTCACGTCTCTCCAGGGAACTGTGAGCCAGAGACACACAGGACTGCCACGGTGACAACACACTTCCTGACAGGTGATCCACACCACAACCCTCGCCTGAGCATGGGCAGTCAAAAGATGGTATCCAAACCATCCAGTGTGGCTATTCCCTGCCCAGTCCTTCCTTGGTACCTATTTCAAAACACCCAGCGTGACGTGACTTTCTGGCACAACTGTGGTAAGTGACCACCGTGCTGAGCATGGCCCTGGCCCTGGCAGGGGCCCGAGGGACAGAAGCAAATGGGAGCCCTGCAGAGAGGTGCTGAACTCCTCTTTCCCGCAGGTACAGAAGAGCCCCAACAGAAAGCAACCTTTGACTGAAGTGTCACGCGTAAATACAGCAGTGACTTGGAGTGAATCATGCCCAGAGAAGCAGATAGTTAAGAATGCAATTGCTCAAGCATGTTGCTTGATCTCTTTGGATTGAGGCCATGGTGACTTTTCTATTTGGCTCCACAAAGCTGGTGCAACTCTCCCCAGCCCTCTCCCCAGGTACTTGTGGTATCCCAGAGCCGGCCAGGGCACCCGCCAGTGGTCAGTCCGGCTTGACTATTAGCCAGAATCCATTAGCATCTAATGGGAAAAGCCTCAGGAACACGGCCTCAATAAATGTTGACATAAATTTGAGGTCAAAATAATCCTTATGAAAATTTGCCCAAGTAATTAAAGCCAGGCAAGGAGCTGCCTGTCCCAGGAATATTTACCAAGCTTTACTAAAGGCAGTAAAATTAAGACAAGAGTTTTACAACCAATCTATGCAGGGCTCCCTTGCCATGCTAGTGCTGCACGCCGCTTCCTGCTGTCCTGCTCCTCTGAGGCCTCGGTAAGCTCTGCAGGCACTCCTCATGAGCCACCAGCTGAAAGACAGCCTGCTTCTGGGCAGAGACTTGTGGAAGAAACCCGCACTGGAGCTGGGATGGTGCGGGGCAGCGCGGTGCTTTGCTGTGACACAGGCAGGCTGCTTTGTTCTCAAAGGGAGTGTTGTTCTGCCTGGGAAAGGAGGCTGAAAAGAGGATCTGAAGGCAACGAAGAAACAGAACTGAGTTTACTTTCGACTCCACGTTGTAATTTCTGCAGGTTTGGTTTTGTCAGCTCTGCAAAAAGTCTGACCTAGCCCCTCGTCTCCTTTTGTCCCCCTGTTCCTCTGCCCGCTTTCACACCCCAC